GAGAAGAAAATAGGACTCTCTTCATTAAAATCCATAAACATTCATATAGATAAGCTTTCTTTTCAAGAAAAACCCAGTACTATCATACATCATATTAGGAATAAAACATGATAATACTTAGAAAAATAAACACTTGCATACATGCATTTACAAAAATTCATCCTCATATCATGCATTTTCACTTTTGCTAGATAATGGAGGGATCCGGTAATAGACAATTAAAGAAAGTGGAAATCCTTTTATGCCGTGTAGAGAAGTTAAGGCAGTTGTGTACATATATGCCGCCAGAGGTCTGTGCTAGTTTTGAGAAGTCTTATGGAAGAATTCTTGACCTTTTGAAGATCAGTATTGATCCGATATTTGTTAGAGCATTGATCCACTTTTGGAGTCCCAATCTACACTGCTTTGAGTTATCGCAGTTTGACTTGGTACCAACCTTAGAATAATATGAACTCATGGTCAGATGGCCTCAGTCAGTTGGGGTCTATGTTTGCTCGGGAGTATACATAGCCGTGAGTAAGGTTGCTACTATCATACGACTGCCTCCTCATCAATCCACCCTAGAGGGAAAAGGGAATATCAGAGGTTGGAAAATGGCTGTAATAGAAGACCACTTAGTTTCTCTGGCTGAAAAGAAAGATTGATCTACATTCAACAAAACTCTAGCATTGGCAATGTTTGGAATCATATTATTCCCATTTCATGTGAACATTGTGGATCATGCTGCAATAGATGCATTTTTTGCCTGGGATGTGTACTCAAAGAGTCCTATACCTGCAATCCTCGCTGACACCCTGCTTTCCGTAGATTTTTGCCGACAGAAACAGGGGAAAACACTTAGATGCTGCACTTCATTATTATACGTGTGGGGCATTACTCATTTCTACGCTTCAAGCCACATGGGCGTATTTCCTGATCCTCTAAGGAGTTTTTCAAAAATCCCTCTTCAACATCGTCAAGCTTTAGAGTGGAAGACCGAGTTAGAAAGCTGGAACATAGAGCATGTATCATGGGTTTGCCCTTGGTTCCGACCCAGTTATATTCTCATACGATGCGGAGATTACCTGAGCATACCACTTCTAGGTCTTAGAGGTTGTATAGCCTATTCTCCTAAGATGGCTATGAGACAACTTATGAGAACCCAGACCGCGCCGATTCAGGAAGAGCTCAGAGGGCTGAGTCTATGCCATTATTCCCATAGCTTTGAAGAAGTATCCGCTGTCCGGAAAGCATGGGAAAGACCAGTCTATATGGGAGATAAAGAACTCGGAAAGGTTCAGGTATCTACATCCCATGAATATGAAGAATGGAGGAAAAATAGAGGGATACCCCAACCATCTGCTGCATTCACCACAACGTTAGTCAGTGAAGAGCTACAATTGCAGGTCAATGCCTTAAACAAGAGGGTTGAAGTCATGGAAACACAGCTAAGGGCTTTTGAAGAAAAAGAGCAAGAATCAACCCTTATAATAGATGGTCTAAAAAGGCAATGTAGAAAGAAGGACCACGAAATAGAGCGTCTTAAGAATGATTGTGCTGATTATCAGGAAGAGACTAAACAAGCATTGAAGATTCCGAGACTTGAGCAAGATAGTCTGTTCCGGGACATGAATGACGAAATAGCACATCTTGAGAGCACGCTTGCAGAACAGGCAAGAACGATCAAGTTAATACAGAATGACCTAGCAAATACTCGGTCAGAAGCACAGAAATGGTGGGAAACCGCTGAAAAATACAGAGTAGACCTAGAGGAGCTACATGAGAAAGAAAAAGACGGATTAGCTCAGTATGGTCAATTACTTCTTGAAAAAGACCGAATAATAAAGAGGTCTGATCAGCAGCATGCCTTGATCGTTCATCAGGAAGAGAAGATAAAAGAGGCTCGTCGATATAGTGAAGATATGAGCCGGGCGGTATCTGAGCAAATCAAGACGCTCAGAAATCACGTAATAACAGCTGAAGACGAATTACGAAGAAAGCCTAATTTACCTATAGGATTCTTCAAGCTTTTTCGCTTTTGTCAACACTTGCTTCAAAGCATTGTATAAAAGGATATACACTTTCTAATAAAAGGATTTTTTTTCTCCTTAAATTGTCTATTGCATTCATAAGTTGCATACATTCACATATCCCTCCTCGTTTTAATAATAAAGATAATAAAAACAAAGAATTAACTGATGTGCTTTCCACAAATCGGAGAAAAATGGAAAAGAAGCCTTTCGTCATCAAAATCTTTACGACGGTCGATAAACCCGAAGATAATAACAAACAAGCACCGTTAATCATTCCAATCGATAAAAGGGAAGAAGCAATAACGCCTTTACGTTTATTCGTGCCCTGCCCTTTCCCTTATTCATCAAATAAAGTTGTACCTTGGAGATACTCAGAAGAATTGCCAGCTTAATCAAGATATCTCCAATATAGCCTGGATTGGGGCATGACTCGAAGCGTAAGAATATACTCCCCCAAGGAATTACAAGAAAATACTCCTAAAGAGAAGGCGAAAAATAAGGCCGAAGAAGAAAAGGAATCCAAGGAGGAGACAGATGAGTTACTCCAATACATAAGACAAAGTGAGTACTCTATCATCGATCAACTCAATCGTACTCCAGCAAAGATAACTTTGTTATCACTCATCATGAGTTCGGAACCGCATCGAAACGCATTGTTAAAGGTTTTGAATGAATCATTCGTTCCGCATGCAATATCCCAAGACAAGTTTGAAGGAATTATTGGTAATATTACAGCCAATAATCACCTTACCTTCACTAATGAAGAACTCCCTATTGAAGGGTCCAATCATAATAAGCCCTTGCATATTTCTGTCAAATGCAAGGAATATCTCATTTCCAAAGTTCTTGTGGATAATGGGTCATCCTTAAATGTTATGCCTAAAAGTACACTCGACAAGATAACAGTGCAAGGAACCCACATGCGCCCGAGTAATACAGTTGTTCGAGCCTTTGACGGATCAAGACGTGAAGTAGTAGGAGAGATTAGTCTACCAATCCAAATTGGCCCTACTATCTTCAACATAGACTTCCACGTGATGGACATCACGCCAGCATACAGTTGTCTCCTTGGTAGACCTTGGATTCATAGCGCTAAGGCAATACCTTCAACGCTCCACCAGAAAGTCAAGTTTATGACAAATGATAAACTAGTCACAGTTCAAGCTGAAGAAGACTTTCTGATTAGCAAACCGCCTGTCCAACCATATGTGGATGCGGCTGAAGAGGCTCTTGAAACATCTTTTCAAGTGCTCGAAATTGCCAACATAGAAAGACTCCCTGGTAATATGAAGGTGGCCCATATGATGAAAAAATATGGATATCGCCCAGGACAGGGGCTCGGAAAGAATGCTCAAGGGATAAGAGAGCCACCAGATTTCAAGGATAATCCGCTAAAGTATGGTTTAGGGTACGACCCCACAAAAGATCAAATCATACGAAAAATAGGGAAGTCTTACCCCTCGAAGACGATATTCCGAAAAAGAGGGGTATTAGCGCAAAGGGTAGCGTTAGTCATTAGGTGTCCTTCTTCTGATTCTAAGGGATGTAAACCTAGTGACTATTAGAGATCACTCCTCGGGGTATGCCCGGCCCCCGAGCATCTTTAGGGCACACATTTCCCTGAAATTACAAAAGAATGGTATTCTTACTATCTGCTTCTTTTCTTACTAAATGTATCTATACCCCATTTTAATAAACAAGGTTTAGATAAAACGTTTTGTTCCAAATGCGTCCGAACAATTAAAGCGCCGCAAAGTAAAGTAAAAATGATTGACTAACTAGAAACACAAATGAAATCTATCTTGACAAAATCAAGTTTCGACAATGTTGTGCAAAAAAAAAATATATGCATATAAAAGAAAAGCCCGTCGAGGCCAAAGGCCGAGACAAGAAAATAAAAGGGCAAAATACCTGGCAGGAAACCCACAAAGGGGGCTGCACAAAAGTTAGGGTAAACCCGACAGGAGACCCGAACAATAATAAAGGGTAGCCTGGGCAAAAGTTAGGGTTATTAAAAGTCCGCTAGGTATTCCTTAAAAATAAATACAAAAAAAGGGAAACCTAGACAAAAGTTAGGACATAAGCACAGCATCCTAGACTGAAAACCTGAAAGGGCAGCCTAGGGAAGTTAATCGATCGCAAAAAGGCGCCATAAATCAGTAAACAACGATGCCACATCATAAGAATGAAACGTTTATCTAAACTAGCCTAAACACCGACCAACCTTGGCTAGCCATTCTTACAAAAACCTCTATTATAAAAAATATCCCTCTAAAACACAAACCTTTGTTGTAAATCCTTTTCTTTCTCTTCTCTTGACCATTTCACTATAAAGCATTCAAGTAATAAAGGGGAATGTGGTAACATAGTGATCAATAGGAAGGTCGAAATCCCTAAGGAAAGGAAGGAGGGCATTGATATGGCAGTTGCCCTACGAACAGAAGATAGTTCTTCGGCCATAGCAAAGAAAATTCCGAGACGGCAAGTCAATACAGCTTAGCTTGTTGATCAATAAACAAGATGATGTAAAGGCACAACAGCGAGAATGCGCCCGAAGTCAAAGCACATCAGTTAAAACTTTCGAAATATTAACTGAAATAGATCATAGGATGCATATCATGAAGCATTACATGCATTAAAGCATAAATGAAGGGAATCCTATCTTCAGTTTCATCAAAAAACACGAAAATTAACTAAAAAAAAACAAAAAATCAACATAAGAAGCTTGAGACGGCCGTCCCAAAGTCCAGACGGCCGTCCCAAGTGCCCAAATTCAGTTGGGACGCACGTCTCAGATGGGGGTTGGCCTGTGTGTAAATTTTTCAGTTGAGACGGCCGTCCCAACCCAGACGGCCGTCCCAAACCTCCATGCGCGGCCTATATAGGTGGGGTGCGGGTTTTGGCTCCAGTACCTCAATCCAAGCTTCCTATCTTGCTTTTCCTCCTTCTCTACACACTTTTAGCATCCCTAAGAGAGTAGAGCTCACAATGGAACGTGGAGAAGCCTCATCCAGGAGAAAGCGCACCAGGACTGCTGCCAGAAGAACTCCTGTCACCAACATGTTGCTAGTAGAGGCACATCAACAACGACTGGCAAATATCCAACAATTTGCCTGGTATCCTATGCTGCGACTGGATTTTGAAATTTTAGCTACATTTGGCTGGGAGCAAGATGTTAGAAAGTTCATCCACAACATAGGATGGGACTTTCTGCTCCATGAGCCACCTACTCGGATCCACCGCACTGCCACAATGGAATTTCTTGCCTCTGTCAACATGATGGAAATGCCATCCGCAACTCCCGGAGTGCCACCAACTCAAGTTGTCTCCTACTGGATGGAGGGAGCCTACCGGACCACTGTTCTGGATGACTTTAATGTCATAATGGGTTTCTGCCAACGAGCAGATACAAGAACACCAGAATACCGGTCCGCATATCTGGAAAAACCTGCTGTTCTCACCACCACTAGCATGTGGAAAGAGATCACTGGAGCTCACAACTTGCCAACTCACTTGAAGGGGGCATCCTTTTCTCCTCCGCTCCGCATATGCCATAAACTGCTCGCCAGGACCCTACACAGCCGTAAGGAAAGCCAGGGGAAGGTAACGCTGGCTGACCTTTTCATCGTCTACTATATGCACCAGGGGCATAAGTGCAACCCAGGATACGCATTCCTGAAGGCCATAAAGGAATGCGGTACTCGGGGACCAGTAGGAGCTATCATGATAGCTCCCCTCCTTACCCCTTTGGCTGAGTATTGGGGATGCACTGATGGAGAAGATCTCCCAGCTGAACTCCAACCAGAGCCGATCAACGGAGGAGTGTTGACACACATGAACATCCTCAGCAGGCAAGGGACAAGGTTCATCTTAAACCCTATCATCTTGATTTCATGGGATATGCACGACTTCGATACGCCGCAAGACATCCCTACTACCTCCGAATCCCAGCAGCAGTCACGCGATCCAGACTTCCCTGGCCTGTACCGACGCCTGGACGAGGAGCATGCATACATGGAAGGAGAGTTCCAGTTCATACGCCAGCAGTTTAGTCAGCTGACTGTTAGGCAAGATAGGACGGACCGCCAGATAGAGAGCTTGGTCCAGAATCAGACGAGGTTCCAGCGCCGCCAACTCCACCGTTTCCCTTCACCAGTACCGTCCTCCCACTCCAGTCCAGAGGCAGATGATTAGGAGGAGTCTTTTTATAATTTTTAGTATTTTGAAAAATGCTTGAATGTATCAAACAAAAAGCAGTAATAAATAAAAGTAGTTATTTCTGTTTCATATTTCAAAAGCCCATGTGTACAAAAACTATAAAATAAAAGGCACACATGATATACTAAAAAGTCGGATTTCAAAAATTCGCGATAAAATTAAATCGCGATAGAAAAAGGCAAAATCAAAATTATCTTCAGTAGAATAAGGAGCTTCAAGAAAACTAGTTCCAACCATCAACCTTCTACACCAATAAAAGAAGGAGAAGAAAAGCCAATGGAAAAGGCTTGACCATCCTCAAGAGGATCCTTGCCTATTCAAAGGCAGAAAAATACTCCCTGACTCAACACCACCACATGAGTCGTCAAACATAAATCACTTGGAGCTGCAATCAGCATCCTTCCATCCAGAAAAGACATCAACAAAAAAGAAAGGCCGACGGAAAGGCTCGATCATCCCCAAGAGGATCCTTGCCTACTCCAAAGGCAAAATGAAAAAGACTACTTCGTGACTCAGCTTCATTACCACATGAGTCATCAAGCACACTCATATAAGGATCTCCGCTTCATCCCCCAACGGAGAACAAGGGTTACACAAGAGCCCATCATACGAAGTCAAGTTCCCTATATCACTGGGGGGGCAACAAAAAGAAAAAAAAGAAAATTTTTCATCCGCAACAGAGGCCATTACAGAAAAAAGGCCAAATAAATGTCTCTAAACAGAGCATATCAAGAAAAATCTCCACAAAGAGGAAAAGAAGAAAAATCTTCACCCCGATCAATAAAAAACTTCACAAAGCCAAGAGCCAAGACTCCATCATCAAAGTTGGATCCCCAAGAAATAAAGGAAAATTCCCCAGGGATCACCGAAAAAGAAAAAAGAAAAAGATACCTTTTCATTCAAAGAAGAAGCCAATGTGCATAAAAAGAGCACACATACAAAAAACCAAATCGCAAAAAAGAGAAATCGCGAGAAAAGGGTAAAAACCCATTCCCCAAGACAAAATAAGAGCTTAGGCAAAACCAGCTCAAACAACAGCGACCAATAAAGAGTCGAAAAACTCCATTTCTCCCTAGAGGGACAATTCAAGACAGGATGTCCGAATGAAATTAATTCCCAGTGGATCACCAACAAGAAAACTACCCCAGTGAGCCTACGACAAAGGCAAACTACAAAATTATATCCACAGGGAGTTAATCACTCATAACGCCCAAAGACGAATATCCATAGTGAAGCACAAAGCCTTCACTTGCAACAAGCAAGCAAAAAACTAATATCCCCAAGAAATGGGAAATCAACCTATGCAAGAGGCAATCCAAACCCTCAAACACTACTAGAAAAATGGTTAATAGTGACCGAAATTAGTAACCGAAAAATTCAGTCACTGATAGTAACTGAATCAGTGACCGATTTCCGTTTTATATTTAGTGAATGATTTAGTGACTAAAATTTCAGTCACGAAAATCGATCACTAATTCGGTCACAAAATTAGTCACTGATTCGGTCACTATTAGAAAAATGGTTAATAGTGATTGAAATTAGTGACTGAAAAATTCAGTTACTAATAGTAACTGAATCGGTGACTGATTTCTCTTTTTATATATAGTGACTGATTTAGTGACTAAAATTTCAGTCACTAAACAAATAATATATAAATTAGTGACTATTTTTTATTTATATAAATAATTTTTAAAAATATTTTAATAATATATTAAATATAAATCTACTTAATAATTTAAAATAATTGATAAATTTTTTAATAACATTATAAAAAATTTAAAAAATAGTTTATTAACTTATTAAATAATTTAGTAATATAGTATGTAAATAAAAAAATTAAAATTAATTATTAAATTAATTACCGATTCAATCATTAAAATAATTATTAATTTAATCTCTTTTATATATATAATCAATGATTAAATTAATTATTAGTTTAGTCTCTTTTTGATATATATATATATATATATATATATATATATATATATATATTACTTTTATGTTAATAAAAATGTATTTCAATGTATTTATAAAAAATTTAAAATTATTTTAATTATTGAATTGATATTTCAAATTTATATTAATATTTTAAATAATTTAGTAATTGGATAAATATTTTAAGTTTATATTAGTATTTTTATAAAAGTGTAAAGATTAAGTGAACTTATTTTAAAATTTAATTAAACATAATAATATAATATACTATTAACCATAAATATGCGAAGATTTAGTTATAAATTAATTTTAAGTTTTATCATTTTTATTTAAAAAAATTGTTAAAAAAATCAAAATAATTAATTAAAATAAAAAATTTTAATTTAATAAATGTGTTAATATTATTAGTTATTGGAGAATTAAATTTATAATAATAATTATATAAAATTATAGAATTAATAAAATTTAAATTATTGGTATGTTTTTAATCATGAAGCTAAAATTTGATAATATTAATAAATTAAAATAAAAAAAATTATATATATATCACTTTAATTATTTTAATTAAAAATATTTTCATTAAAAAACTAATATTTGAAAATAAAAATGAAAAAGTATATAGTTTTTCTTTTATTTAATTATATTTTTTATTTTTTAATTTTTGGGTTTTAGTCCATAACAACAATTTAATTGCTCTAATTTCCACAAAAATATATAATTTCTCTTATTAACAAATAAATTATATTTATATACAAATAAATATATATCCAGTGTAAATATATAAATATAAAATATATAAATACAAATATATTTATATATTTTGATATATTTATATGTTCGATGTGAGGATCACGCTAGAGGGTGAAAGTGTGTGTCGAGTGAGTTTTCAAAATTTGATGTCAAATTTGTGAGCGAGTCTCTTTATATGGATTTGTAATTTAATGATAGAATATAATCTTTATAATTTATTTATATAATGATATAAAATAATTGTTTTCTTTATTTATTTTTATTTTATTTTAATTTATTCTTTTTATCTTTTTGTTTTCTTCTATTATTTAATTAAAATTCTTATATTAAAATAATTTTTCATTATTAAAAATAATTAAATATTTATTTTTAAAATTATTTTTAAAATTATTTAATTTAACAAATTATTATGAATTAATCTATGTCTGGAAAAAATAATTATTAAAAGATGATTTTGATTAATTTATAATAATATATGTTAGGAAAAAATTGTTCTATTAATAATCATAATTAGATTAATTTATAATAATTTGTTAAATTAAATAATTTTAAAAATAAATATATAATTATTTTTAATATTGAAAAAATTATTTTAATATAAGAATTTTAATTAAATAATAGAAGAAAAAAATATAAGAAGAATAAATTAAAATAAAATAAAAATAAATAAAGAAAAAAATTATTTTATATCATTATATAAATAAATTATAAAGATTATATTGTGTCATTAAATTATAAACTCATATAAAGAGACCCGCTCACAAATTTGACATCAAATTTTAAAAATCTACTCGACACACTTTCACCTTCGAGCGTGCCCTCACATCCATATATATATATATATATATATATATATATATATATATATTTGTATTTATATATTTTATATTTATATATTTACACGGATATAATTTATTTGTATATAAATATAATGTATTTGTAAACTATTATCAAAAATTCCTACTAGCTAAGTGGTTGGAGTATTAGTCTCTAACTCTAAGGTACTCGGGTTCGAATCCTACAAGTAATAATTCTTTCAATCTAATAATAATTGAAATTTCTAAAGAATATAATAAATAATAAAAATATATTATAAAAGCATATAAAAGGGAGATTAGAGAGTTATAAAAAAATATTTTTAATTTTTTAATGATTTTGTTAATTTTTTAATGTTTTTGTTAGTGACCGATATAGTGATTGACTCAATCGATCATCGATTCGATCACTAATTCGATCCATCGATTCGGTCATTGAAATCAGTGACCAAGGAAATAGTGACCGATTTGGGTTGGTTACTATTTCGGTCACTATTTTAGTTAGTGACCGATTTTGATCATTTCGTGACCGAAAATTCGGTCACTATTTGATATTTTTGTTGTAGTGAAAGTCTTCACCACTATTGAAGCATTCGCCTAATCAAGAGGCACAACAAAATCCCCAAATGAATCCTCGCCTAATCAAGAGGCACAATCAAGAAGAGAATTCAAAATCCCTAGAGGATTCCCGCCTAAAAAGAGGCAATCAACAAGAATCCCCGGTCAAGACCGGATGGCTAAAAGAAAAAAGCCAAAAACAAAGAATCCCCGGCAAAAACCAGATGACTAAAAAAGTCAAAACAAATTATTCCCCATGGAATAGGCGCATAATCAGAAACAAGTAAGCCGCTAACACATCTCCAAAAAACAGATAATCACAGGATTAACTACCAAAAAGTGCATCCTGAGAACCTTGCAGAACGGGGTTCGGACCGGGTGGGGGTAGGTACCCATCAGAATCTTGCAGAACGAGATTCGGACCAGGTGGGGGTAGGTACCCATCAGAATCTTGCAGAACGAGATTTGGACCAGGTGGGGGTAGGTACCCATCAGAGCCTTGCAGAACGAGGTTCGGACCGGGTGGGGGTAGGTACCCATCGGAACCTTGCGAACGGGGTTCGAACCGGGTGGGGGTAGGTACCCATCAGAATCTTGCGAACGAGATTCGGACCGGGTGGGGGTAGGTACCCATCGGAACCTTGCGGAATGGGGTTCGGACCAGGTGGGGGTAGGTACCCATCGGAATCTTGCGAACGAGATTCGGACCGGGTGGGGGTAGGTACCCATCGGAACCTTGCAGAACGGGGTTCGGACCGGGTGGGGGTAGGTACCCATCGAGCCTTGCGGAATGGGGTTCGGACCGGGTGGGGGTAGGTACCCATCGAATCTTGCGGAACGAGATTCGGACCGGGTGGGGGTAGGTGCCCATCGGAACCTTGCAGAACGGGGTTCGGACCGGGTGGGGGTAGGTACCCA